GTCACAAAGAGTCGGACACGACTTAACAACTAAACAACAACAATAGCATAATTATTACATTTGATAATGCCATAAGAAACTTTATATGGGTGTCCATCAAGTGTATAAATTTTATATCAGTTGTTTCTCTCTGTATTCTTGTTCTGTAGTGCTCAGTTGTTTCTCCCTGTATTCTTGTTCTGTAGTGTTCTTTTCGAGAACAGCAAGTTTCATATCTTGTGAAGAGTGTCCTGATAGCTTTTCTAGAATAGCAAGTTCATATCTTGTGAAGAGTGTCCTGATAGTGTGAAGTGGTTTGAGACAGGTTACTCTGTATTGCAGTTTCTGATGTCTGATTTATGTCCATTGATTCTTTTGCATAGAGATCGCCAACAGTGTCCTTCTATACATAGGCTAAACACAACAATCTCTATCCAAAAGAATCAATGGAAATAAATCAGACAGTCCTTAAGAAGTGGTCTTGTGTTAAAAACAAAAACAGAACAGTTGATATGGTATAATTGGGTTATTACATGTTGAAAGCAACTTGGAAAGTGCAGGGAATGTTCTCCCTAAGAGAAAGCATGAAGTTATAAAGAAACAGATTTGTTTGCACAAGGACTCCTCCAGGCATCAGAAATAAAGAAAATGCTCTAGCTGGGTCTAGCTGCATATCCTAAGCTAGTCACACTTCTATAGATTTCAGCCACACATCTCCTTTTGTCTATGGATTGAGGTAGATGGGATGTGGCTGGCTTTGTGGCTTTCACATTCTCCCAGCCACTTCTCCTCCCTCTTCCAAAAATGATTTAAAAAAAAAAAAAATGCAGGGGTGGGGAGGAAATGCTACATATACTTCCCTCCCAGAACTTTTCCACTTTGTCTTCTGTTTTTCCAACTCATTTTTGGAAAATAGCCCATTTCTGGGGGTCATTTCTGTGTCTTTAGTCCCTTGTAGCTGTAAATAAATAGGTAAAATGAAGGTTTGAGAATGGTGATTGGATAAAATAAGGGGAAAGGGGGAGAAGAGTGGAGGTGAGTGAAGTGAGGTGGAGAAGATAGGCAGAAGGGGGAGAGTGATCATTGCAATGGAGATGTCAAGGAGCAGTTCTGGGTTTCAGTGAACTGTTGTACCAGGTTGACCCAGTAAATCCCAGTATATCCAGCAGAAATACCCTCCTCAAATGTGACAATAATATTAATTGTTCACTATCAATTAAATTCTGATTTATGGCAGCCTTCCTGTGGTTTTCTAGTTATAAAGTTATCAGAGGTGATTTACCAGTTATTCCTTGTAGTGATTTCTGGAACCCTACAGCTTTGTCCAGGGTCACACAGATAGCAGGGCATGAAACGCTCTCCACCAACATGCTTTGAGTGATCTCGGCTGGCCCTTCTTCTGGGAGGTAAAATGGGGATTTAAAGTCCTGGCTCCACAGCCACTTGCTCCAGCCCAATGAGCTGTGTCACACATCATCTTTAAAACATGCTGTTCTCCACTGTTGATCTAAATAGTTGTTTTAGGGTACAAGATTTACAAAATGGGGAACAAGATTTACATTAAATTGACAAATGATGTGACTCCAGTGTTGAACATCCAGTATCATGTCAGATGTATCTGCCATTGGTTTGAGTACAATTACAGACATGAGCACATTTACCTATATGGATACAAACACTATTTAAAGTTTCTTATTACCAAATTACCAAACTTCCTTCTGGAGTTGCTTACTGTTATGCTTACTGTTCTTTTTGAGAATTGTTGATGAGAATAAAAAACATCTATTTAAAAATCTATTTTTATAGGTATTCAGCTGCCGAAAGAAGATGAAATTTCCATACCTATGGTATCCAATTCTCCTGCCAAGGAGGCAGACGATAGCTCAGATCTTTCTCTTGAGGAGGAAGAAAAAATCAAGGAGGATCCTTTAACCATTTCAGAATTGGTATACAACCCAAGCACCAGCTTGCTCCCCACTCCTGTTAATGATGAGGAGATTGATCTGCTCTTTCAAACCTCTCCAAGGCCAGAGAATGGGAAAGAAGACGCTGATTCGTTTGAGGAACTGGAGGCAGATGAAAATGCGTTTCTGGTTGCAGAGGAAGAGGAGCTGAAAGAAGCTCGGAAAGCACTTCGGTGGAGCTATGACTTTCTGGTGGGCAACTTGAAGGTCAATGCTATTATGAAAAGTTTTTCCAGACTTCTTTTTGTTGGGTTTGGAATTTTGCTGCTAGTTTTCCCTCTTCTTCTTGTGCTCTTGGAGTCAGACCTTGATATCTCCTTCCTCCATGATATCCGCCAGACACCAGAGTTTCAGCAGTTTCATGTGGAATATTACTGCCCTTTCAGACAGTGGGTGGCCTGCAAAATAGACTTTGTTAGCCATTTGTTTGGCAGCTCTTAAACACTACAAATATGTGATACAACTAAGGGCTATATTCAAAATGAGTGAATTTTCAGTCAGTGCTGGGGTACTCATAAACACCCAGAAGGCCATAAATGAGTAGTTCTTCATTTTCACTCCATATTAGACTTCCAAATTCTCCAAGTTTCTTTTGAATTGTTGATTTAGCTACATGGTGGCCTTTCAATAACCAAAAAGTAATTTTATTTTTTTTCCTGCTTCTTAGTTTTTATGAGTGACTGAACAGAACTGAAATGTGTTGCCTGTAGCATTATAAGCCATTGTGTGCTAAATTTAAGCATTAGCAACAGAAAGAAGGTGATGCTTTTGAATATACTCCTTAGTAAAACAATCTCTACTAACCAATGCCTATACAAAGCAACAAAGATTGCTGGAATTTTCTTTCTTGGTTTGGTTTTTCATTTTTAAAAATATTTTTATCTGTTTACAAGATTTTGGTAAATTTTTAGCAAAAATAACTTCTAAAGATATTTAGGTGTACAGATTAATAAAATAAATGCACAAGGGCATGTCATGAATTTTTAAAATGTTTTAGCAATTTTTAAAAAAATAAAATTGAAGAAAAAAGTTCTTAGAGATCAGCACAAGAGGATGAGAAGATGGGAAATGGGCAGAATATGCTAGATGGAGTTAAATTTACATTTAAATGAATATGGTTCTGAGCACCAGGCTACATGTTGGAAAGAAACATGAGATTGCCTTGAATGTTAACACAAAGGTAAATCGCAAGTAGAAAATCAAGGCCAGAAAGAAATGGTTAAACCTTTTTCTTACCACCACTTCTTTTGTTGCAGTCACCCTAACAACAATTTTCTTATTATTTCTCTTTTCCTTTCTTAATCGTATGGAAAAACAACCAGGAGAGGAGATTTGTAGGGGAAAATCAGTAGGCATAGAAATGTTCAACCCCTCCATCCTAGCTGTTGATCGTACTCTGCAAGTTCCACGTGTCCCTACATTCATGTTAGTTGGATCAGTGGTGGTCAATATAATGCGTCGTTCTGCCTTGGCAGTTTTAGAGGTGTGGGGAGGTTTGCCACTTCAGTTACTGGTAAGGAAGGGTCTTTGCAAGGCAGTGCAAGTACAGTTTTGTAAGAGGTTAGGGAATTTTGGATTAACTGTAGATTATTGTACATAACATAGAAATGTGAATATTTAATAAACAGTCTAGGTAGCCCTACTTAAATACATAGAAGTTAAAAATACAGTGGTCTCTAAAAATAGAGAAAAATTCCATGAAAAACTATCCTGTCCCCCAGATCCCATGTATTTGACAATAATGTCTTAGTTCCTGATGCTATTTGTTACTGTTTCACCATGAAAAACCCCAGAGTCAGCATTTCAGGCATTATTATTTCTTGTGCATGCTATCTCTCTGGCTTAATATAACTGACAATGGATGCACATGATTATTTCTTAAATGTGTCCCTATGACAGTGGTGTGTGGTTAACTGTGTTGTCATGATGTGTTGGGGATTTTGTGCCTGTGCAGCTCCAAGTACTTCTAAGAGGCTATAAATGCATAAAACCTCGTGTGTATAGAGAAGATCAAGAAGTCCCATTGTCCAGTTTTCAAATTGGGAGGGGGAGGCACCAATTTTATTTTGTATTCTGCAGTTTGAATTCCCTGACACAACCTCTCCATATCCTCCTCATTTAACTGTATCAGTCACTGTAGGCATGCTCCTACAGTGCATTTCTATACATTTCTGTTCAGATGTTAATTCCAATTGAGGTAAATGGGAACTACTCCCAGCTAAATATCTTTGCAGTTGCAGCTTTATCTGAACTCAGATAAACCTCCCTATGTATGTTTTGCTTGTCTAGGAAAAAAAACTATTAGCACCATGATTATATTTATTATTTCTGTGGAATTAACCAGCAATGAAGGCATTTTTTAATCATTTACTCTCATAACAACTCGTACATTTGAGTTTGTAATGTTGCTGTGAATCTCCTAAGGTTCCCAACCTTGGGCCCCCAGATGTTCCTGGACTACAACTCCCAGAAATCCTGGTCAGCACAGCTAGGGGTGAAGGCTTCTGGGAGTTTTAGTCCAAGAACTTCTGACGACTCAAGGTTGGGAACCACTGACCTAAGCAACTGAGGCTGCACTTGAACAGGTGTGGTGTTGTAGTGTGCAGAGTGATGGGATGGAAAGTGGGGAGTTTTAAGTTCTAGTTCTTGTTGAGAGAGGAAATCCATCATGAGACCTCATGCCAGTCACAGTCTAACCTATCTCACAGCATTGTTGGAATGAAGAAATGGAGTGGAAAGGAATCATGTATGTATTGCCCTGAGCACACTGTGATTAATATATAATGCCTGTAATCCAGTAGTAAGTCACAATTAAAGCAGGCCTATTGAACCAGTGGGGATTTGGTGAGTCAACTACTTCGTAAGTTCTACTGATTCAGTAGGCTTGCTCTAGTTGTGACTTAACTGCTGTCTCCCAGCCATTGCGTTACATCCACAATCAAGATAATCTTCAGCATGTTAAAGTAAATACAGAGCTCAATCCTAGGTTACAGTTAAACATATTTATCTTTTGTTTATTCCTGTATAACTCCCATGTGCTTAACTGTTATACATCAGACAGTACCTGTAATTTACAATGTGCTCTGTATGGGAAACCTTTAGCCCCTGCTTCAGAACTCTGTGGGAGCCGTCACATATGCACAGATGTGCTGGATCAAGGTGCAAATATTTATTCTTCAGCTTTTCACATAGTTTGGAAAGTTCTAATGATTTCCCTTTGTTTGTCCTTTCATTTTTGGAACATAATGCTAAAGCAATGTTGTGGTGGTTTTTTTTTTTTTTTAGAATAAGCCTCTGTAGCAGTAATTCTGTGAACTGTTTTTCTGTGTCTAATAAGGATCATGTATGACTTTACCTTCAAACACTTATCTTCAACCTCCCAACTTTCCTAAATCATTGTTCTGTGCAAATGATTGCTGATCACTTGTTTGGTGCAGATGTAACACTTTTGCAATTTCTATCAGAATTCTGTTCATTGGAACAAGAATCTGACGAGATTTCTGATTTCTAAAAGTGATCTGGATTTCAGGGTCTTTGACTATAGAAACAGGCAATATAGACTTTGCAGATGGATTAAAATTAAATCAAGGCTTTGTTCTGAATCCTACTGGTGTATAAATAATTTACTAAACCCACTAATTGCAAACAATTGGGTCCTGGGTTCTAAAATGTAGTCTTGTCCATATCACGGAGAGCCAGAATCATGGGAAGTATTTGTTAAGTATGATTTAATCTGACCAGGGCAAGGTCGTGAAAGGAACAGATTACCTCAGAGAATGGACTGTGTAATAAGGATACATGTAGTGTTAAATGCAAGTGCATGCACACGATCACCTAGATTTACATACACCTTCCTAAACTTTTGTGAAACTTGAAAGCAAGGGTGAGATGTGTGAGGCTTTCATATGTTGGAGTGCAACTCCCTCAGCCTTAGCTTGCACCACCAATGGAGAGGAATGATGAGAGTTGCTGATCAATGACACGGGGAAGTTCACATCACTGCCCCTTGCTCTACTGTGAACATTATGAGTGCCTATTAAGAGGTACCTCCTAGAGAAAAGATAGAAATGAAAAAAGGATGGGGAGAAGTGTATATATAATCCATGGTGTGTACTGCATAGATTGGAATAAAGGCTTGTCTCTAGCATTGGAAGAATCAGAAGAGGCCATAGGTACAGTATTGTGTGTTTCTGTCTGTGCTTGGAATATATTGTAAAATGTTATGTACTTGAAATCTATTCGTGACTTGTCTAATATTTATAAACGCAACTCTGGGAAGAATTAAATAAGGTTTATTTCACAGAAATACAACCACACACATACACACAAATCAAGAAGGAAATTGTAAACTTCAGCCTTATCTTTGCAAAGTGAATTTCACATTTCTATGTCAACATATTGTTTGTTTTCTATGTTAATATGACAGGACTCCCTAATAAAAATGATTGAGAAAAGCTACTTTGCAGTGGCACACATATTTGACAATAAAGTCATTAAGTACAGCAGCTTGGGTTATTACTGCTAGGGTCATAAGCATCACATTTCATTGGAACGACTTAATCACACAGTCCTAAACCTGATGTGTCAGCATATAGTTTATTGTATTAGAAGTACTGGCAGTCATAACAGCACATCATTATGGAATGTGATGGTGTGGAGGCTCTATGGGTTGATAGTATATAGGAAAACAAAATGCAAATATTTAAAATAAGAGAAATCTGTGTATATGGAAAGTAAACAGCAGCCAAGTTATTCACACTAATTACATAATAGTTCACCTGTGTCTTGAGGTGCCTTATGTGTGAGAAATTCACTTTATACATCCCTCCCTCTAAACCTTAGCATCACTATCCACAATCAGAATCTAGAGAAATAGATCAGACCTCATCCAAGATCATCCATTGGCTTCATGGCTGAATGGGGAATCTGAACCTAAGGAATAATAAATAACTAGCATAAGAATACTTATTTTTATAAGGATGCTATTGGCTGCTTATAATCTCTTTGTTACAATGTCCAAGTTCACTTTTGGCCTGCCTTTCAGCACACTGTTGGTTGGATAAGAGATGGACATTGGCACTATTAGAGAAATGTATCTATAACCTGAGGTTCCTACACGGCAGCAACATTGGTTTGGTTTCATTGTTTTTGCCGAGGAAGCTTTTCCTTATAGTGCTTTGTGGAACCCACATACCTCGACCTGTGCTCCCTGGTGTCCAAACAACAACCACCCCCAAATCTCTGTGACAAACCAACAGGTTCAAGAAGTCCTGCTATAACCACTCGGTTACACTACCCTGTTGATTCTGGAGTAGGTGAGCTGTTTGGTTTCAGTATCTCCCAACACTCTAGTCTAGTGATGGTGAACCTTTTTGAGCCCAAGTGCCCAAACTGCAACACAAAACCAACTTATTTCTTTCAAAGTGCCAACACTGCAATAAAACCTGAATACTGAGGCACTATCACTGTATCTTAAGCAAAAACGATGAAACTGAGGCTGTCCTACTTGGGCACATCCTGAGAAAGGAATATTCTCTGGGGATGGGGGAGACATTAATGCTGGGAAAGGTGGAAGGCAACAGGAAAAGAGAAGGCCCAAACGAGATGGACGAATTCCCTAAAGAAACCACAGGCTTGAGTTTACAAGAGCTGAGCAGGGCAATTGAGGACAGGGCATTTTGGAGATCACTCATTCATAGAGTCACCATACGTCAGAGGCAACCTGACAGCACACAACAGTATCAAAAGCATCTTACAGTATATTACAGTTTTTCTTAGGACAGAACACCTCAGTTTGTTGGGCAATCTGTTTATTGAATTTAGTGTGAACCTGGAAATTAGAATGTAAGCTTCTGTTAGTTTACACTCTAAAAGTCTTTTCTTTGATTCCATGTGTTGGTCTGTTCGTTCACTTATTTCATTACTAAAACACCTAATAACCGAAGCTTTGGGCAGCTTGCAAGAGTTGAGCAGAGCAGTCAAGGATAGGACATTAACAAAGCTTTGATTCCATATTTATTTATTTATTTATTTATTTATTTATTTATTTATTTATTTATTTATTTATTTATTTATTTGATTTATATCCTGCCCATCTGGTCTGGTTGACCACTCTGAGCGGCAATATTGACAGGGCTTGAGATGGATACATAATAACCTCAAATTTACCCTATCCATTTTGTCAAATATAACTTTTAATTTGGCTAATTATTCATTAAATAAATGCAGAACTAACAAATATTATTTAGCTAATTAATTATGGATCACTCTTAACTCTCCAGTATATATTATTGAAATAGCAGGGTTGCTTAAAACTTTGAATTATTTTTCTGTAGTCTGTAAAAGTCCAAATATATATAAAAAAAGCACAGAAGGACAGTAAAACAGGAAATATAAAATTAATTATATTCTACAAAATGAAAAAAGGGAGTCAGGACGAGGAGGAGGAAGCTAAGTTCCAGGAGTCTCTGCTTCACATCTTGTGCAGGAACAAGGAGGCAGAAGAGGGGTTGTTGTCCTGATGAAGATAGTAGAGATCCCAGGATGGGCATCTGTGTCGAAGTGTAGTGGGTGTACCACAAAGACTTTGGGTTGTGCATTGGGTCTGGCCGGCCAGCGGCTTTAACTTGCTAGAAATCCCTGTCGCTGCTTTCCCCCTCCCAGGCTCTGCCTGCCCAGCTCTCGGAGGCTCCCCTTAGTTGCTCACACACAAACAAAATGGCAGCTTCTTCTTCTTCACTCTCCTGATTCCTCAGAGAAGGGGTCAGGGAACTTTTTTACCTTTTACCCCCCAAAACATTTATATATGCCGACATTACCCCATTGATTTGAAAGGAAGGAAATCATACATTATTCGGATTCAAAATATTATTGAATCTACACAGGCTGTGTACCAAACTATCAGGATACATCATCAGTATCCATGGCTGCCAGGCTATGTACCAAACTGGCAGGAGGCACCAAATTTAATAAAGATATGCACTATTTTTGCTGGAACACATTGCACTCCAGCCATGGGGTGATATAGGGAGTTGTAAGCAAGTTGGATTAATTTTTTTGCTAGCTCGCAGAGAATTTTATCATCACCAGTGGCTGCCAGAGTGGTGCTAGCAATGACGTGCTTGCTAGAGACAGCCAACACAGGGTTTGGGGGGGGGGGGCTTTTCCTACCACTTTAATCATTCTGTGTGTGGTGTGCAAAAAGGAACAAACCAGGCTAAAGGTCATGTCACACACCCTGGTGCCACAGCCCAATATCAAATGAACAGTACGCTATTTTTTATCATCATCAATGAAAAACTCAGCAGTGGCCAGATGATTGGAAAAGATTAGTCTACATCCCAATCCCAAAGAAGGGCAGTGCCAAAGAATGCTCCAACTACTGTACAACTGCACTCATTTCAAAGCAAAAAGCAAAGTGTGCTGCTTATATACCGCCCCATAGTGCTTCAAGCACTCTCTGGGCAGTTTACAAGTTAATTATGCAGGCTACATATTGCCCCCCCCAACAAGCTGGGTACTCATTTTACCGACCTTGGAAGCATAGAAGGCTGAGTCAACCTTGAGTTGGCTACCTGGGATTGAACCCCAGGTCACGAGCATAGTTTTGGCTGCAATACAGCGGTTTAACCACTGCGCCACGAGGCTCATCACACGCTACCAAGGTTATGCTCAAAATCATACAAGGTAGGCTTCAGCAGTATGTGGACCAAGAACTCCCAGAAGTACAAGCTGGATTTCAAAGGGGCAGAGGAACTAGAGACCAAATTGCTAACATGCACTGGATTATGGAGAAAGCCAGAGAGTGCCAGAAAAACATCTACTTCTGCTACATTGACTACACAAAGTATGTGGACCACATCAAACTATGACAAGTTCTTAAAGAAATAGGAATGCCTGACCACCTTATCTATCTCTATACTGTATGTGGGACAGGAAGCAACAGTTAGAACTGGATATGGAAACATTGATTGGTTCAAAATTGGGAAAGGAGCACAACAAGGCTGTATATTTTTTTTTTGGGCCCAAGTGCCCTAATTGGGGGAGGAACACCCAACGGGTGGCGGGCCACAGTGGTGGCGTAACTGGAAGTGGCAGAACCGGAAATGGTGGTGGAAAGGGGAATCCCGGCCACAGCTCTAACACTGGCTGGCTCTTTCTCACATGAGCATACACTTGTATATAAAACAGAATCACACAGAGCAATCAGCTTGCACTTCTATCCATAAACATTCTTTTACTCTTCTCAACTGTCATTCCTGGCATACATTCCTCGTCCAGCTCTCAGTCAATACACACATAACTACATAATTGCATATAAAACACATAATGCAGCACAAAGTTGTGACACCCTCTGAATGAACTTGGGTTCTGGAGAAGTATTGTATTGTTCAGTATTCTTTTCCCAAAACCATTGCTCTTCCAACTCTCCTCCACTTGATCTGGTTGTCTTTCGGTCCTTTTAAGGAGAAATGTGTAATAAAAAATTTTAAATAAATAAAATAAATAATTGTTATGTTGTCATGTAAATTCACATTATTCCTTTAGGATTGGAAGAAACTAATTTCACAAATGCATGTAATTTAATAATAATAATAATAATTTGTTTAACACAATTTCTTCGGTATGTTCCATGTCTAAGAGGACTGGATAGCTAGCTTCAGGATAGTACTTTTCATTAACTGGGAATTCAGTACAGTTAGCAAGGAATTTTGCTAGTGACCACATTCTGTCACATTCCCAATCATGTTTGAATGACTACAGAGAAGTATGAAGAAAAAATGGCTGTGGATGTGTGTTTATAATGGAGTGTTTCTGAATCTCTTCTCATTCCTCTTCAGTAAATTTTGTTCTCTGGAAATGTCATATAGCTATTTAAACATGACTAAAGACGTATCATCATCAGTGACAAACTTCTCCGTGTCACAAAAAAACCCACCCTGATGCAGAACTCCCCCCTCCCCGCCGCCACTTTTGTCAATAGGTTGCTCACACTTCAGGTCACCTCAGTTCAAACCTGTGTGGTAGTGATTCATGATAGGACTTGAACAACCATTCAATGTCTCTCCACTGAATTAAGCAAGAAACCTAGTCTTAGCAGAGAAGTAGGTAGTCACAAGTCTTCTTACACCACATTTGTGTACATGTTGCTTGTTTGCAGCACATTTTATAAATAATGTTCTTTAACCCAGTGGTTCTTAACCTGGACGATATTGCCCCCCAGGAGGCGATTTCATTTTTCAGGGGGGCGATGGAATGAAAAGGGGCGGTGCAGGAACGAAGGAACAGAAGGGGCAATATGGGGGCAATGGAGTGAGCCAAACCTGAGAAGGCGGCTGCATCTGGCAGGCGGATCCATAGCAGCTGGTGCTAGCAGTGGACGCTTTGCTGCCGCCGCCATTATCTTGGGAGAGAGGGGCGATGGTAACTTCCTCAATGGCTCAAGGGGGCGATTCTTTCAAAAAGGTTAAGAACCACTGCTTTAACCTGTCAAAGAAATTCTGCCATGCTGAAGAAGTAGAGCATCGCCATCTTCAACTGTGGATTTGGACAACTATACAAGGCAAACTAGCACCCACTCCTTTTGATCCCTCCTGGAAAAGAAGCAGCTTGTGAGTTCTGCAGTTACTGTATCTGTGCTGATGGTTCTCAATCTGTGGCTGTCCAAATGTTTTAGACTTTGGCTCCCAGAATTCCTGACCACTGGGGCTTCTTGGTGTTCATGTCCAAAATATCAGGATACTCTTCTAGGTCAAAGGGAAAAAAAGCAGAAAGAGAAATGGCAAGAAAAAGAGTAGAGGAGAGCAGCTCACCCAACACAAGGTGATCTTAATCAATCAGACATGAGATTCTGGGGTCTAACCATTTTGTGGTATATACAGGCTATATACTAGATTTTGCTATATACAGGCTGTCATTTTCTATTTTACAGCCAGAAGTGACTTCTACCACATGTTCACCTGATATTACTTAATATATGAGCTGGTCAACTGCAAAATATGGGACAAGTTCCAATTACTAGGCCCAAATAAGAGTACATTGATTGAATCAATGAACTTTACATAAGGGCTGGGTTGCCGTTCAACAGCTGATTACTGTAGATGTTACTAGCAACTGAATTTAGTGTATGTTTAGCTTCCGTTTACTTTATTACACTAACTGCAGTATACAATCATGCTCCGCTTAACGATTACCCCGTATAATGATGAATCCGCTTCCCTATGATGTTTTTGCGATCGCAAAACAATGTTTTAATGGGTTTTTTTTTTTTTTGCTTTGAGACAATCAGTTCCCTGCTTCGGGAACCGATTCTTCACATTACGACGATCAAAACACCTGATCATCAGGTTTTCAAAATGGCCTCCGGCTGCTCAAAATGGGCCCCCGCTGTTTTCTAGGATGGATTCCTCGATTTACAGGCACCGAAAATGGCCACCATATGGAGGATCTTTGCTGGATGAGCAGGTATTCAGCCCACTAGAACACATTGAACGGTTTTCAATGCATTTCAATGGGCTTTTTTATTTCGCTTGATGATGTTTTCGCTCTACAATGATTTCGCTGGAACGAATTAACATCGTCAAGCGAGGCACCGCTGTACATGCAAAGTGTTACTGTGTCTGTTTTTGACAACATATTTCACACATTACATCAGTCCAGGGAGGTATATCTCTATAAAAAGCTGGGACCACTTGTGCAAAAGATGTTGTTCAGATTCCATGTGTTAGTAGCCTAATTATCCTCTCTCTAAGAAAGTACAACCTGCTCTGTGGTTATGCAAGATTTGGTACTGCTTATTTACAGAAAACAGCAATGATTTGGGATGACAATTGATGAAGATTAAAGAAGAAAGGACAAAAGCAGGATTACAGTTGAACATTAAGAAAACAAAAACAATGACGAGAGAAGAAATATACTGGCACTAAAAGTGTTGAGGCTACGAATGAAAATCATAACTTCACTATTGGCAATAAAAGTGTTGAGGCTACGAATGAAAATCACTTTTGGAGATCATTAATTTGGGTCTCTGTCAATCCGTTGCTTGTCCCAGCTCCTGCTAGCCTAGCAGTTCGAAAGCATTCAAATGCGAGTAGATAAATAAGTACCACCATGGTGGGAAGGTCACAGCATTCTGTGTCTAGTTGCACTGGCCACGTGACCACGGAAGATTGTCTATGGACGAATGCTGGTTCTATGGCTTGGATGAGCACTGCCCCCTAGAGCTGGACAGAACTGGACATTTGTCAAGGGGAACCTTTACCTAAATCAGAAATGGTGTGGTGCCACACAAGAATAATAAATTTCAAGGTACAAAGATCCCCAAAGGAGAAAGCAAATGTCAACTCACTGTGCAGTGCCCTTGTTTTCCTTCACATTGAGCAATGGCAGCACTGGATATATGAATCTGTTTTAAACTGACGTGGTGGCACTGCGGGTTAAACCGCAGAAGCCTCTGTGCTGCAAGGTCAGAAGACCTGCAGTCGTAAGATCGAATCGACGCGATGGAGTGAGCTCCTGTCGCTTTGTCCCAGCTCCCGCCAACCTAGCAATTCAAAAGCATGCAAAATGCAAAAAATGCGAGCAGATAAATAGGTACCACCACGGTGGGAAGGTAACGGTGTTCAGTGTCTAGTCGCACTGGCCATGTGACCACAGAAACGCTGCCTCTATCTATGGCTTGGAAACGGGGATGAGCACCGCGCTCTAGAGTTGGTCATGACTAGACAGATTGTCAAGGGGAACATTTACCTTTAGACAGAGTGTCAAGGGGAACCTTTACCTTTACATTTAAACTAAGGGCTCTTCCAGACGGGAAAACCTCCACTCCCTGCTCCCCTGTCTTGTTCCTGCTTTTCCCCAAGTTTAGCATCCGGATTGTTAGTGCCTCAGGAAAACAAAAAAAGAAAAACAAGGCAAAAAGAGCGGAAAAGGCACACAGGTAGCAACAAAAAGAAGGTGCTGAATACTTCTAGCTGGGCCTCCCCTCCCTATACCGGCACACATACTTTCTCCATCAGCTAAGCAGCCAGAGGGAAAAGGCAGACAGGTAGCAACAAAAAGAAGGAACTGTGCTGAAGACTTCTAGCTGGGTTTCCCCTCCCTATACCGGCACGCATACTTTCTCCATCAGCTAAGCAGCCAGAGAGAGGTTTGGAAAAATGGGGTTATTCAGTATCTTGGCCTTGAGTAATGGCTGGCAGCAAAGGGAAGAAAGGAAAGATTTTTGATTTAGCCTTAAAAACGGTCTCTTTTTAAAAAGCAGTCCCCCTGCCTTAAAGGTCGGGCGTAGAATGCAGCCCCTTTTCTTTTCCTCCATGTCATGGTGCTGCCTCCCGGCAGAGCTGAAATAAATGCCAAAGAGAAGTTTTATTATTTCGCACGCGGCGTTCATGAGGAAGAATATGTTGGGATGAATTTTGTGAAGCTTTCAGTTGGGGGGGAGGGACAGAGGAGAAGACGCCTGATGGTGGGCTATTTTGGGGTGCCTTATTCAAAGAACTGAATTGTGAATTGATGCTTTTGAATTGTGGTGCTGGAGGAGGCTCTTGAGAGTCCCCTGGACTGCAAGGAGAACAAACCTATCCATTGTAAGGGAAATCAATCCCGAGTGCTCATTGGAGGGACAGATCCTGAAGCTGAGGCTCCAATACTTTGGCCATCTCATGAGAAAAAAAGACTCCTTGGAAAAGACCTTGATGTTAGGAAATTGTGAAGGCAAGAGGAGAAGGGGAGAACAGAGGATGAGATGGTTGGACAGTGTCATTGAAGCGACCAACATGAATTTGACCCAGCTCCGGGAGGCAGTGGAAGACAGGAGGGCCTGGCGTGCTCTGGTCCATGGGGTCACGAAGAGTCGGACACGACTTAAGGACTAAACAACTACAACAATTCAAAGCACACTCGACCAAGGCTTTACCACAGGGTCTCCCCCCCCCCATACCCGCAACTACTCAGGCGCGCAGCTGGGGCTGAACGGGACGCACCCTCAGGCGCTCCCGGCGGCGCCTCTCCGCCCCTTCCTTGAGCTGACTCCACCCCGTCGGTTTCCATGAGGACGGTGTGATGATACGCATTCCCTGGGTCTGGAGCGGCAGGAGAAGAGCAAGCCTGGGCTGAGGCGAAGGCCGGAGGCACTTCTTCCCGCTGGACCGACGGGGAGGCGCAGACCTGCTGTTGAACCTATCCCACAGGGAACGGACCTCTTCCTTTGCAAACGCGGGGAAGTCCTCCCCCGCCACCCCCAGGGAGCCAGCCAAGCGCCGCTGCTTCTGGGTGCCTGTCCGAGCTGGAGCTCCGGCCGGCGCGCAAGTACCCCTTAGTTCCGCCTAAGGCAAGGCCAGCGGGGTCGCCCGCCCGCCCGCCAATTCACCTTGGCTGCGCCCGGTGTCCTTGTGGCGGAAGCGCCGTCCCTTTGGGATTCGGATTCTCTCGGTCGATCAGGTGGGTTTCCAAGAGCCGCCTGTGACTGGGCGTTGGAGTGACGTCACGTTCCCTTGGGGTTGGCAGATCCCGAGCGGCTTGACAGATTACCAATCGGAGCAGAAAATCGCTGACCGTAGATTCTTTTCAGACAAACCCTATAAGACAAAAAGGATGCTTACCAGCGCATCTCCAACCATCTCTGCCTTCTGACTTCTCAACCCATTTTCCCTACAGCCATAGTGGAAAGTTCCATGCATCCACATGAACAGGGATGCTTCACTTCTCAAAAGGGAAGGACGCCAGAACCATTTTGCACAATTTACAGAAATGTCAAGTGACCTAGAGGCAAAATCCGGAGCTGGAGTCCCGAAGGCAGTTCGTGTCGTTCTGCCAACTCCTGCGACGTTGCTGGAACCAGTTACCTTTTCATTGGATCACTTCAGCAACGTGGAAAGGGGGGATCTCCTGCTTGGGTAACAGCCTATCCTCCATATTACTTTACCCAGGCTTCATGCTCTGGAGAGGACACTCCTCGATACAGAGCACGTTACCATGGTCTCTCGAGACTGAAGGATGCCTATGATGATGATAGTTGAAAGTTAAGGCTTCATCTTTGTTTTTTCACCCAGGAACAAATCAAGCAAAACTAGGAAGGAGCCTGGAGATCCCTTTTGATCCCGAGCTCCCTCTGCTTTCTGCTCATAGATTTCGGAGGGGAAAGGTGCAGCTCCAGCAGGGTATTTCAGTGTTGCAAGATGTGTTTTCTTCATAGGTTTTTCACAATCAACAGTATAATTACTTTCAGTTATTAATTAGTATGTATGAGTTTATTTATTCATATTTTTATCTCACCTAACTAGTGGCAGAGCAATTACTTTGGGTAGCAAAGTGTAATAACACAATACAAACAACCCCAATAACACTCACACAATTGGTAAGCATAATAACAAAAGATAAAATAATTAGTAAAAAAAAGACTATAAAATATTAAATGCTATAATATTAGGTGGTTAAAACGGAGCAGGAACATAAACAGAGGGGACAAAACCCCCATAAATTGGGTTAGATAAAATGGATTATCTAACCATTTTCAGAAAAGTCACTGGACCTTTTCTGGGCAATGAAAATTTTTTATTGTATTGTGTTATTTCTAACCTGTCTCTCTCCTAAGCCAAACTGTATTGCTTCTCTTTCTACACCTTAGCGTTTCCCTTCTGGCCTTAGCATTTATTGCCCTGATGGGATGTCCTTCTCAAATCAGCAGTGTTGAAAGTGAATTGAATTAATAGCCTGTCTCTTGTATGCTATTAAATAGGACAACCATGTTAATCCTCTAGGTGGCAATTTGAGACTGTGATGATATTGAATAAGTATTTTTGTTGCCATGTAATTATCTTCTTTGACCTAAGACTCTTGTGGTTCAGGGTTTTTCTTAAACCTGTTACCCTTACCCACTCTTACCCTTCCATACAGAAATGTAGATCAGCAGGAAGGTCAAGCTGAGAGAAAGTAAATTGATCAGAAGTGTGCTTGTGGCTTAATAGTTAAATAGAAAATCGAACTGTTCTTTCACTTTGTCAGCCACCTGGGGTCCCTCTGCTGGGAGAAATGTGAAATAAATAAATACATTTTCCCATAGCTAAGACTGCCACTTCATCACACTGTGGTCTGCCTTTTTTGTTTTGTTTTTTCTAATGGTCAAAGTTGCTTCACTTAAACCCTTTCCCCCCTAAATCATAATCCCTATAAAGAGTGTCCACATGACAAATATTATTTAAAAAGACCACTTCCATTAGGGGAACATGGGAGGAACCTCCCTGAAGAATGTGGGAACTGTAAACACATTTGGGTATTCCCTGGGCAATGACAGCAACCCTGTTCGCGTATCTTATCCATTCTGGAAGCGTCATTGAGTTACTTCTGACACAACTGTAGAAGAAGTGCAGATGGGAGGGTTTTCGCCCTTAATGCCAATTGCCACATGGAGCAGGATGATCCAGGGAAGCTTAAACTTCTCCTTCCAATGCATTGTGGTGGCAATCATGACCTCCCCAGCATTTAGTTTTAAAGGATTTAATTAAAAGCACACTATACGTGTTAATCAAATTAACATAATGCATGTCTAAGCTTGAAGTACTATATATCACATCCATTCGTAACCAACTCAGGTTTGCATCAAGATAATGCTAGTATAGGTATATATAGTATCAGTATATATAGACAGCATACTCCTTTGGACTAATTTAAAGCAGGTCATGTTGCAAGTTTCCCTCCTTTGTGGGGAGGCCTCAGACTGGATGCAGCCTTCTATATTTAATCACAGTCTTTCTCTTTTGCAGGAAAATATAGAGGTGGTTTCTCTGAAGACTATGGTCAGAATCTTACTGGTATTCATAGAAGGTTTGCCATGGCTGATGACAAAGTGCTGGGTTGCATCTTGGCCATGTGCCTGAATGCAAAACCAAGCTGCATCTTGGCACCTTGTTAGTTAGATACAGCAAATCATGCAGTTCTTACACAAACACTAGTAGGATTTCAATCAATTTTTGTTGAGGCTAAGATGGGAACGTTGGTTGTGAAATATAGGGCAGAATATTTTTTCCATAGTATTCATTAGTTACTTTTCTGTCTATTGGGATTCTCAATACAATGTGCAATAATATAGATGAAACATTATTTAAAAACAGATTGAAAACAATTTTTAAAGCCATTTTTAAAAATCAAAATTTGTACAAATATATATTTGGCTGCTTCACAGAAGCTCAGTACAAGTGGAGCTAGCCTAACTTCTCACTGCAGTGAAGATGCTGCTACAGAGAAAGCCTTTCTTATGTACTAGTCCACCTAGATCCTCAGGATCATGGGATACAGAACACGTCCTTGATTGAAAATTTTAAATTCTAGGACAAGATAATGGTCTCAATGGTACATGAGTCACAAGTTACCCTGGGCTTTGTAGATAAAACCAGCACCCTTAACTGAGCTTAGAAACAGACTGGGAGCCATCGTGGTTGGTTCAAGACTGATGATATATGATCTGTAAAGCACCATTCTTGGTTGCTGCATTTTATACTACCTGCAGTTTCCAAACACTTTTATAAACAGCATGCTTAATAGTACTGTAGTCTAACTGCGGGGCATTTAAGGCATGCATCGCTGGGGCCCATCTTTAGGAAGACATGCTGCTGGTGCACCAGCTGAAGCTGGACAAAGGCACTCCTGATCAGAGCAGTCATCTGGCCTTCTGGGAGTAATGCTGGGTCCAAGAGTACCCTCCAAGATGAGATCCAGGTCCTTCAAAGGGAGTGCTATTTGTGACTTCCTTGATTGTCTTTTCTGACAACCAGTTGCACTTCTGTCTTGTCAGTTTGTCTACTTGCATTCAACCCCCCACTGCACCCAAACACAAGTCAGGACTTCCACAGTCTCTTTGACACCAGATAAGAAACAGAGACAGAGTTGGATATCATCAGCATAGCAGTGAGACCCAGTCCCCAAAATCCAGGTGCCCTTCTCCTGCCACTTCATGTTAGATGTTAAAAGATGTAGAGGACACCACTGAGTCCTAAAGAACCTTTTAATCTAAAGGCCATGGGGCTGAAAAGTAGTATCCCTGCACCGCCTGGTCTAGGTCTTGGGCCAAATAGGATCAAAATCACTGCAAGATGTGCTCTGAATCCCTTGTTAGCCAAACAGCTCAGGAGGATGCTATGATTGATGCCATAAAATGCCTTTAGAGGATGCAATAGAATCAAAAGCATTGAGAGATATTAGTTATGTAGGCAAACCTGTTGTTTATTTCAATTGACTATAATCATGGGAAATTATCAGCAAGCATTGGGGTAGTTCTAATTTATGCCTATGTCTTGTTCCTACAGATGGAATAACTGTCCCCAGCAATATTAGACTCAGACTTTGCTAAGACTGATACAGCAATGGATACACCACATACTCAAAACAATATTAGACTCAGACTTACGTAGCTAAGACTCATACAGCAATGGATACACCACATACTCAAAAAATATGGAAGGAGTATGTCTAGTTGCACTGATGATGCTAACAACTCAGGTTCAGTCAAGTCCAGATGTGGTCCATTACATTCTATAGCTAATGTTAGAATCAACTTTGAGTAGCTCAGCAGTAAATGGAGAGGAATATCCTAAAACATTCAGTAATGGATCAAGAAGCAAGTATTACAGATGAACTAACGTGTAGAAAATGTTTGAGCTGTACCTGTGTACATAATAATCTACACAAGGGAGTTGACATCCCAGAGATATGGAAACTCAAAGACGTTGCAAGCTGGGCTGAGTTGTTCCTTGATCAGGCTCCCATTGGAGACAGCATACAGGAAACCGGAAAATCAACCTTGGACTGTGACACTGAGAAAGAGGTGTTTCAACAGAGCAGAGGCAAAGATGCGGTAGATAAAAGCTCTAATGATTTAGGTTCAAAGCTATTGGATTCAACCATTTTAAGCTCTTTCATAGCTATTGAAAATAGTTTGGAGCATGGTGAGAGACGCAACCCCTGTGCTTTATTGAATCATAATGCATCATCTCTTCCTCAAAAAAGTTCAGATCATCCTCAGATACTCAAGCCTGAGAGGGAAGGAGAAGATACTAGAATTTCTAGTAACATTGAGGGAGAATTGGAGGCAGATGGTTGCATGTATAGCAATACAAGAAAATCCAGTTTTCATAATCTCCCCATTGAGTGTCAGGAAGATGATTCAAGCATACCTACACTGGACTTGCAGAAAAAGGATATTTATTTTTGGACCCCTGCTAATAATAGCTCCAGTGAGGAATTGCTACGTGTGAAGAAAAGTAGTCCGAAACTAGCCACTACAAGGAACCAGAACGGCAAAAGGTCTTGTGGCAGTGCAAATTTTTTCAAGCCAGAAAATCTGAAACTCTTCAGTCAGTCAGTGCTAGAAAGTAGGCTTCCTTGCACAAGAAAGTCTGATAGCAGTGAAAGATGGACTCCAGGAATGGAGAATCTCTTGGAGATCAAAGAATACAAATGCAAGAGTTTCATATGGATTCAAAACCTAGAAGGCTCCAGTGGAATCAACAGTATTACAAAAAGCATTGGTGAAGAGGCTGGAAATAGAAATAGCCCTTTCACTTTCAAGTCTGAGGAGAAAAAAGGTATCTCAAGGGATGAGATGTTAGATTTTCAGCCTTTAAAGGAAGCTGTAGATCAGAGAAATGAATTTAGAGTGGATGCACTAGGAATAGATAAATGTTTTGAAGGGAGTAAACATATTGGAAAGGATCAGACGACTGGTACATATGATAGAGATGACTTCAACAAAGACCAAAAGAAAGTTGAATTAAGATTTATGGTGAAAGATCCCACGGTGCAAATCAACAGTTTCTGTAGGAATTTGTCACCAAATCATTCAGAAAATAGTACAGATCAAATTGCTTCAAACCGTTTGAATTGTCCCTGTGAAAGTAGAAACATGGACCGTGCTAGTGACTTGGATACGTCCCCGTTTAGTGATGGAACTATAGCACTTAATTCAAATACGACTCCCATATATGTGGAAAATGACATGAAAGAAAATATATCTGAGAAGGTCATCAAATCAATAGTAGGTTCTCAAAGCAATATTGAGGGGTTCTTCAATACAAGTGTGAAAATTGATGGCCACAAACAGTTGTTTTGGAGTGACCAGTCCCAGTCTGATAGTGTTTTGGCCAAATATTACTTCTATGTGAATTATCTTAATAAACTGAAAAAGCTTCAGCCTGAAGGTGGTGACCATTTCCCTTCCTGTCAAGAACACTGGGGCGTTTCTAAAGAAAAGAATCTGTCTGCATTTTGTTACTGTAAGAGCAATAGCTTGTTGTATGAGCAACAAGCTAAGGAACTTAGGAGCAATGATTCTGGCACTCAAGAAATAAGCTGTGATAAGGATACAAGGGCTGAGGTTTTAGAACAGCACAGATGCGCTGAGGAACAAGAGGCTATGACTCTGTTTGGAAAAAGCAGTCCCAAACGATTGCCTAATCCTGCATTGTTTACTAATGGGCAGCCGAGGAAGCCATGCGTTTTTAAAGGTAAAACTGAATTGAAATTTTGATGCACACAAATAGCATTTCAAAATGAATAATGTGTTGGAGCAAATGTAGAATAGATGACATTGTCAGAATCATAGAATACTAATGAAGATCATCAATATTTTGTGGTATAGTTTTCTTTTTTTAAAATAAGGCATTTCTTTCTCTCTTTTTTTAAATTACAAGAACGAGCTAGAGAGTTCTCTCTGTCTCTGAGCAGCACTCAGCTGGTCTGTAGATCCACTGACAAAGAGCAGTATGATTTACTTGCGCTTTGTGAATCATAGCACATAGCATCACAAAGGCTCAGGCTGAAGTTTTGGTTTTGGGCTAGAAGACTTAGACAAGGATTGCTTTCTTGCTGCATCAATGCAGTTGCACAAACCATGATATTACCATGTGACTCAGCCTCAAAGATGGGTCATGGTGGCGCTGCGGGTTAAATTAGAGGAGGAAATTATCTGAGGCTGTCTAATGAGGGGAATTAACGGGAAGATTCATAGAGATGCTAGGCATACAATTAACTGGGTCTACAGTCTGTGTGCCATCTTTTGTAGACAAGAAAGCATTTGAAGCCAAGAAAACTGGTACAGACATGGCTGGTCCTAAAAGGCACTGGGAGAGAGCAAGCATTGCGTGGTCATCTTACACACATGACGAAATGAAGCCAAGGTTAGCTTGCATGTGCTTCAGCCTATATAACCCAACAACATTTTGTCTTTTATTGAATATATTCTGAAGCTGCTGTTTGCATGCAGACTGCATGAATGAAACAAGTTTTTACTGACATGAAGATGCAGATTTGACAAAGTCCATAGGGTAGACCAGCCCTTAAAACTGGTCTACCTTTTTTGTTTTGTTTTCATTGTTACAAACAAAATGGCAATGATTAATTTTTTGTTTCACCTTTGTTTCATGAAAACAATAAAAACTTTGTCAACAAAAACAGAAAGCATGTGTTCAATTTGCACGCTTTCCAGTTACCTTTTCCAAAAATATTGGGACGAGCAACACTATTATTCTCATCTTATAGATCAGCTGTTTAAAATGCCTTAATTATTGTGTTGGGGAAGCCATGGGGCATATGGGGGAGGCATCTCATTTAAGGAACAATAATTGTTGGCACTGCTGTAGAAGGATGCATTATGGCAGTGGTCCCCAACCTTGGGCCTCCAGATGTTCCAATAATTGCTGGCGCTGCTGTAGAAGGATGCATTATGGAGTACAACAGCAGGGTTCATGTAGCATAATCTTGGGTGAATTGAACTTGAGTTAATAATTGGCCCAAGAATGAGTACATGCTGACAACGAACATCTGGAGGCCCAAGATTGGGGACCACTGCATTATGGAGTACAACAGCAGGGTTCATGTAGCATAATCTTGGGTGAATTGAATTTAATAACTGGCCCAAGAATGAGTACATGCTGACAACGCATGTTCTTCGAGATGAGCAGTGATTTCTGGTTTAGGCACCATGGGAAACTGTGGATGAATTGATATGTTGAAACTAGGCATGTTAGAGGAGGGAAGGAGAAGCTTGCCACCACCCAGTTCAGTTTTAAGGCTGATTCAAGACTTGTGTATCTGCACTGGTCTAAAGCTACAGAGTAATTCAAAATATGAGAAAGGATTTGAAACCACTCCTTTAGCACCGTGATTGTGTATTAATCTATATTAGCTCTTATGTAGCTTTGTTCATTTAGTTTTGTTTCTCTTTGTTCCTGCAGTAGATCACAGTATGTTCAAACACCTGTGCTGGGCAGTAAATCAAGAAGAAAGGGTGAGCATAATTCTCTAAGCTGTCCGTCTTCAGGTATGTATAATCCGGGTCAGCATTCTTGATGCCAGAGGGTGCGCTCTTCCTTTCTTGTCCATGTACTGACTCAATAAAAGCAGAGAGAAAACCATACGTGGGGTTGACTGTGAAAAATGGCCATCTGTGCATGAGTATGTGTATGTATCCCCCCCCCAAGAGCTCAGGAGAATGTGTACAGCTCTGCCCTCTTCTGTGTTATTCTCACAACAACCCTGTGAAGTGGGTCAGGTTGAGAAGTAGTGAGTGGCTTATCTAGTGAGTTGATGGTTGAGTGGAGACTTGGGCCTGGGCCTTCTGAATCGAGCGCTTGGCAATATATTGACCCAGGTCATTTTTGCCATTTCCCCATATCCTTGGAGGAATCGTTCTTGGATTCTGGGATGCTCACAGAGACTGCGAGATGCCTTTGAGCAGCAGTGGGGAAAAATGTTGGTGACTGGTGTTGCCTTGGTTTGGATTTTGTGTGTATGTGTGTGTTTGTGTGTGTTTCGTCCACTTTACCAATTTCCTATGCAAGATTAAGTTTGGTCCTCCTGTGCTGCTAGTCCTTGAATATGGTTTGTATCTCTTTGGCATGTAAACTGATCTGCTAGTTGTAATGGTGTATGTTGGCCATATTTTTAATTATTTTTAAGAGTTGTAGACAGAGGCCAGTTTGATAATCCTATGCAAACTCTTTATTTCTATCTCAGGGACTGAATCCAGACAGCAGCAGGAACCTGCCATTCAAGCTTACGATGAAATAAATACAGTAAGCTTATTTGTCTTCTTAGCTATTGTAATAATATCATTAGAAACATTTATAAAGACAGAGATGTCCTTACAAAGTCCTTAGAAAACTAAATTTCACAAATGGAGCCTCGATACCTAAACCAATTACTAGTGTCTTATTGACTGAAATCCTGTTGCTTAGCATAGGAAGTCACAGTAATATAGGCTCATTGAATTTATGGATTTTGTGAGTCAGCTCCTCCAGAAGTTCCATTGATTCAAATTATAGTTGCAACTTCCTCTGCTAAATAAAAGTATTTTAGCCATTAAAGGAATTTTTAAATGGTTTCTGAGACTAGTAGAGATCCTGTTAATTGATTATGATGATGTGTTAAATCTGTATATATTGTATGTTTGCTCCTCTTTTCCCTCCTTTAATTTTATGAACACTTCTTCAAACACTCTTGACACTCATCCAGCTGTCTGTTTCAAATATAGAAGCTCCAGTGTGCATGTATACCAATTTCTCCAGCTGCCAAGGCCTACCCCAGCCATATCAGTGAAGTCAACAGATTTCTTCATGCACATTTGTACCTTTGATCTATTTGCTTTGTTGAACAGAAGGTGCAGACTGTGTGTTGAGGAGCTCGTTTGTTCTGTGTGCTCATTTGTTCTGTGTTGCGTACACCCAACCTTGTGGTGATGTTCTAGTATTCTGTTCTCTGAACTGTATTGTGTGGAAGCAACAGTTGGGCTGGAAACAGGTGAAAAAGAGCTTGTTCAATGCTGTTGCGGAGAGGACATTCTGGAGATTGCTCATTCATAGGTTTGCCATAAATTGGGGGTGACTTGACTTGTCAATTCTGTTGTCCAGTCATCTGTTGCCTGTACAAACAGACATACAGAAATTAGGGAGAAGCTGTCACCTTACCTGTCATATCAAGTATAATGAAATTCATGATCCATGATGCATCACCATTTTGAGGAAGACCAAAGAAGAGATTCTTCTTTCATGGATGATATTTCAAACATTAAATGTCAGTCCAGGTGTCAGAATTTCTTGAAACAATCGTGTTTTTATAGGAAGGAAGCTAATGGTTTTTATGTCCCATTAAGGATTGTTTCCCCCCAGCTGCTAATGAGACAAAATTATTTCTGAACATTGAATCAGATGAGCTTGATTTGGTTGCTGTTCTGCTTCACCATCTGCTATTTTAATCGACTGAGTAACTTTAGTTTTATTTCCTTGTGTTGCCATTTTTTGGTGTAATAAGAGTTGTCTTTTTCTTCTTCTTCTTTTAAAGAGCAGGCATGAGGATCATAACCTCTTGCCTTGGCTGCTTCTTCCTAATGAATTGTGGCTGTGTATCTTCTCTCTGTTGACTCATAAAGATATTTCTCGTGTTTCCCAAGTCTGTCGCCGTTTTTATCAGCTAGCAGGAGATGAGACTTTCTGTAAGTATATAAAAACGGAGAAATAATAAATGGGTGAAGGACACAATGGTTATTGAAGGGTCTGGGAAACTCTAGATCAATATATTACAATGCAGATTAAATTCCATTTCAGATAATTTGCAGCAAAGTATCTTCTCTCCTGGCCCCAATTAGCAAATTGAAACAAATTAACAAGAGGTGTAGTTTTAGAAGAGGTAGCCTGTGCAAGCATATCAAGCAATAATAAAAAAACAGAAGAGGCAAAATTTTGGGGGCACCTTAAAGACTAACTGCTATATTTTAATGTGAGCTTCCATGGATTGAGTCCAGACATAAGAGGAAGTCAGACTTACGTTTGAGAAAGTAGCCTTGATTCACAGAAGCTCACATTAAAATATAGCAGTTAGTCCTTAAGGAGCCACGACATGTTTGTCTTTTTAATTTTTATTTTTTTATTGCCTGATAAATTAAGAATGCTTTGGTTTTTTAAAAATATATGTTTTGTAGTTTTTAAAGCTCCAACTTGTGGGAACTCTTTCACATCCTTTTTTTTTACTGTCATGATTGCTCTCTTTTCTTCTAGTCTTGTGTGTCTTGTGATGTTTTTTTTTAAAAAACAATGAGGCTTCAGATTGATCTGGCGAGCCCATTAATAAGTAGTTTGGTTCTCTTTTAGTGAGTGCAGTACTAACACTGGGGGAATTGCACACGCTGAATGAACAAAGTGCTTTGACAGGTGTAGAATAGCGAGCTGCCAGGAAATGTTTTGTCAGGCATAATGGAATGATGTCGAAAGATAACAAAGCAAGCTTGCTCATGATTTCAGATTCATTTATGGTTCAGTCTTATGAGCCTCTATAAGGATATATTGTTTGAACAGGATGAAGCATAGCAGCAACCAGGATTACTGTGCCCTGCACATATGTGCTTATTGCTCCATCTAGTGCCGGCTTGCTGCTCCCAAGTCAGCGGCAGTGGTGGCAGTGTTAGAAGTCCACCGTGTGCACAGGTGGGACGCCTGCTAAAGTATGTAGCTTGGACTCATTTGCATGTCGACAGCAGTGATTCTGCCTGTTTCTTATTGGGAGAAAGTGGTGAAACAGCCAACTAGCTCAGACCATCAAGTATAAACATTACTGCCTGTGTGCTGTTGCCTTGAAAGGACTGGAATTTCTGATGCAATTTAGGGCAATGGGAAGAAGGCGCTGCTCTTCCCACCCTACTAGCATCCACTGTCTGAGGTAGCCATTTCCCTTTTCCTACTGGTAAGGGTGGTCTTTTAGCCCCTAGATGGTGTCTAATAGTTCATTTGCACAACAGATTACTATCAATGTTGTCGTAAACAAATAAGTGGCTAAGAACATACATTTGTTAAGGTAAAATTTATCTCTGCAGGAAATTGTTTTGATTTGCTTTTCAAATTCTTCAGAACTGTGCCCAAAAGTTGGTCATCCATTTCTCAGAAGACGGTAGGACAGCCACTGTATAGCAAAATCATGCTGTGAATGCTCTTCTTCCCATAGCTAAACTCCTCTTCAAACAACTGTGCCCATATATGCCCATATAAAGCTGAAGATGTCATCAGCAAAGGAGGTTTCCTTTTTGAAAGAAATTAAAGAGGTCCTTCTGCGGCTCCCGCATAATCCCTTTCATTTTTGGTAAATTGTGAGAGCCATGAGATGAGAGGATGAAGTGTTTAATAATTGAAAACCACCATAAAATTATCCGGGCAGCATGAGTTTTGGTAATTAGGCTTCCTCCTGCTGTCCCACAGCTCCCATGGCTTTCTGATGGTAAAGGGATTACATGAGAGTTGTGGGAGAAGTAGGAAGTTCCCCCCCAAATTGCCTTGCTGATTACATTATTAGCCTCACATGGGCACAAGTTATGAAGCAGGATTTGAGCCACTGTTATCTTTTTAATTAACATAAAGTAAAACAAAAGCGTTTAATCCATGTGGAAGATATTTATTAATTTATTCTGATATTTTTTCTCTTTATTAGAGGTAGGGTGCGGTAAGGGATAACTGGGATAAGGATACATTTTGAGGGGGTGGATTTGAACATACATTACAAATTGGTATTTTTTCCCCATAATAATTCTAAATAATCCCTTCTAAGAGTAATTCCAATTATCATACAAAAATATATACATTATATAGAAAAATCTAAATTCATACAGATACTGTATTTTGTAATTTCCATTATTAATTATGTAGCTGGTCTTTTTTTCAACCATGTATACAGTGACAGCCAAGTTTCCTGATGATCCTTTTTCTTTTTTGGATTCAATCATTTTGTTAGCCTATCCATTTCTGCAGTTTCCAGTATTTTCCTTATCAGTTCGTCTATTTGTGGTATTCCAGACTCCTTTCAGTGTTTTGCGAATACTATTCTTGCCGCTGTTATCATATGGATGGCTAAGAATGCTTTTTCAGAATCTAATGTAGTAGGCAGAATATTTAATAGAAAAAATTCTGGTATTGATATTGGAGTTTCTAATATCTCTTGCAGTATCTGGTTGACTTTGGTCCAGTATTTTTGGGCTTCTTTACACATCCACCACATGTGAGAAAATGTCCCTTCTTTCTGTTTACATTTCCAACATACATTTGAAAATTGAGTGCTTATTTTAGCCAGAGTTGTGGCAGTCATGTACCATCTCTAGAACATTTTATATATATTCTCCTTGAATACTGTAGATTTAGTTATATTTATATTTATTTTCCAGATTTGTTCCCATTGGTTTAATTCAATATTGTGTCCTTCATTCAGTGCCCATTTGATCATGCATGCTTTTACTACTTCATCTTGTGTTTCAAAATCTAGCAAATTAATACATTTTCTTTCTGATTCTAAAAGAGTTCTGTCAAAAGCGATCTCCACCCCCCGCACACACAGTGTGTGTGTGTGTCGCACTTGCGGAGGAGTGTGTCACACTTGTGCACATGCGCATGAGCACAACACGGCCACCCGCAAGTGCGACATGCCCACCCACTCTCAAAATCTACCTGGCTTCTAATTTCAGCCCAACCTGCAGCGGGAGCAGTGGTGGCACCTACTTGGTGAGCATGGGATATTGGAGTTTCTAATATCTCTTGCAGTATCTGGTTGACTTTGGTCCAGTATTTTTGGGCTTCTTTACACATCCACCACATGTGAGAAAATGTCCCTTCTTTCTGTTTACATTTCCAACATACATTTGAAAATTGAGTGCTTATTTTAGCCAGAGTTGTGGCAGTCATGTACCATCTCTAGAACATTTTATATATATTCTCCTTGAATACTATAGATTTAGTTATATTTATATTTATTTTCCAGATTTGTTCCCATTGGTTTAATTCAATATTGTGTCCTTCATTCAGTGCCCATTTGATCATGCATGCTTTTACTACTTCATCTTGTGTTTCAAAATCTAGCAAATTAATACATTTTCTTTCTGATTCTAAAAGAGTTCTGTCAAAAGGAGTGTTTTCTTGATAAAATCCCTGTTGTTTATCTTTAGTATACCTTGATATTAGTTGTGTTTGCGCCCACCAATCCATTTCAGTGCCTTGGTCTACTAGCTCTTGTGTTTTAATAGGATTCATGTGGAAGATATTTATTAATTTATTCTGATAATCAATGTGACTTTTCCTAAATACCTGGAGTTGTTAACATTTCAGATTAATATTTTGTGTATAAGACATACTGAGGAGCATCTTGATTTCTGAAGTTCCTCAACAATATACATATTATGATAATTTTCACAAAGTATTCACATGAAAACTTAGGTGAATTCACAAATAATAAATTCAGGCAACATTTAGATAATAATGAAATGTTCTTCAGACAGTTTTTATATTACCCTTTAAATACAGATCAGGGACTTTTTCAAAGTGCTTATGGCTGGTGTCCTGTGAAAGGATATCATTTTATACTGTATTTCTATTAGTTCAGGAATAGAATGAGCAAAACTAAAGCTCACTCTCCCATCTGTAATTTACAGGTATTAAAATGTTTAAACAAAGTAATAATAAATATAATCACATTAATGAGAAGAGCTATTAACAAAAATTAGAAGAGAAATTCTCTTAAAGTTCTTAGAAGCTAGCAGAAAACATCCCTTTGAATGGCACATAATTATTTAGGTTTTGTTTGAAAGCTTTTAAGGAAGATTTCACACATTTTGTAAGCAGTTTGTTGGACTAATGAATAAGATATGCAGTGGATATTCATGAGTTCAGAGGATGATGTGACCTCTGAATTTTCTATTAGATAAATAAAATCTCTGGTTCATTGTTGAGCTGTTGTTTAAAAGTGTCTGTTCTACAGTTGCTCACAAAAAAGTGTTCATGTAGACCAGGTGCTGCAGGTGAATTTCGAAGAAAAAGAACACTCTTAGGGCCATGACTACAATGGAAAAGTGAAGGTCATTTGGAGGAAAGTATATATCAGCTTGTGTCACATTCCCACGGTGAATTCTAATACAAATACTTTAACGCCTTGAACAAACAAAGATGGGTGGGTAGACGCAGGTCAGTGCTGCAGTTTAGTAAGGCTCCATAAATGTTCTTGGAGCTGTGTGTGTGGTGTTTATTTTAATAAATAAGAACAGTGTGGTGCACAGTGTTTCTATTTTTGTCATCTTCTGTCTTTGTTGAAATAACTTGCAGTAGGAAAAAGCAAGATTATACTCAAAGTTTCAACATGGCTGGGATAAGAGGTCTTAAAACTTTAAATCAGGTGAATCAACCTAGCATTTCAGGATTAGGAGAAACCAGTTGTTTAGCACACATATCCAACTCTGTACAGAACCAAACGTAATGCTTCATTCTTTTCTAGCACTCAGGCATCTCTTCATTAACTTTTCATAACTCTCAGCAATTTGCCATTCCCAACAAATTTTCAACCTCTTTCTATCCATTCCTTTATCTTCCTAGACAAGCTCATTAATTGCATTACATTGCTTATATCTGACTTCCCTGCTGCTTTTTTCCTGTTTTGCACTCCCATATTGCTTTTCTGAAGGATCATGGGATG